CTATATGTCAAATTTCTACATTATGATCATATCTCATACCGAACCGAAGGCCTTGTACCGCAATACGTACCGCACTGTGGTAAGAGCGTACCGATTCACCCCTAGTATTTTGTCGTGTTGATGTCTGATTGCCATTACACCATTCGATCGAATGATCGAGAGCCTTCCTTTCCCTTCAAAGACAATAATTTCTTGTATTCCCAAAATATCGTACTTCCTATATTCAGTAACTGAATGAATTCTGAAAAAGTTTAGTACATAGTACAAAGTTGAGTAATTAGTACATTTCTCCTTGTGACGGATTTATTAGAACATATCAGGGAAATCATAGCACGGACTAAGTTCCAAAAGGCCGGACTAATTTTAGGGATAAAAAATATTGGTAGCACTGATGAAAATGGGAGCCTGTGTAGGTGAACATTACTTTCGTCGTCTATAACGCAACACACCAATTGGCTGAGGTCTCGTGACTCACAAAAGACGCTACATTCAACACGGAAGACAGTTCAGCACGAACGTATTGTAATTAATACAGGTTTAAGAGAAACAAGCCCAAACTACCGACTTGCATTTCTCAGTAACGCAGTGGTCTCGACCAGGGTGTGGGGTGGTAGCAAACACAATACTGTGACGAGGGCAGGTCTTTGATGAAGTTTTCGGAACTATATTTAAAACGTACAACATTCAAAGGCTTTTTGTTGCCTTCCTCTTTGAATGTTAGGCGGCATAGATATGTGATTGGTGTTGGTCATTCAAATCAACTTGACTATCCTTTTTGTACATAATTTCAAACGATAGCCAATAAATTATAGGGATCATGTCCAGTATTTGATGCCATTGACACCGTGCTTGTAGACATGTCTATATAAAACCCAAAAATGAATGCAAGTCCATTTACCTCTGGAAACAGAAGTCCCTAGGTTCATGTTCTAAGATTTGAAAGGGTGGATACGTTTTACAAGGTTTAAATAAGACATAACTGTGGTATATCGGCAGAATTTGTCCCTTGAATAAAAATGATAACGTGAATAAAATGTTTCTTAGACTACGTTGTCAGACAGACAGACAGATTTTATTCAGTAATAGGCCACTGGCCCAAAATACATTCATAAATATGATAACATGCGTTTTACCAGACTACGTTGTTCTTATGACAAACTGTGCATTTACCCACGAGGTAACTTGTGCCTCCCTAATTAAGGTACGTCAGGTGTAAGTTGAAATAGAAAATAGCATCAGACTATTTTTGGTCACTGGTATGTCAAATGTGGAAATGTCATCCGTGTGTTACCTTACATTTTCATCTTTAAGCTTTGGTTGCATTGAAAGCCTTTAATGTAGCAATATTGATGGGACAACCTGTCACCAATTGAGTGTGAGTAGGGTTTTACGCCGCTTTTAGTCATATTCCAGCAATATCACGGCGGGGTACACAAGAAATGGGCTTCACACATTGTACCCATGTGGGGAATCGAACCCGGGTCTTCCACGTGACAAGCCAACGCTTTAACCACTAGGCTATCCCACCGCCCCACATTTCAGCTAGCGTCCATATTACATGCAGAAAGAAATGACAGGTGTATATTTCATGTTATATATTGTGATAAACGTCATATTTAATGTTGATAAAACTCTCTCTCTCTCTGTCTCTCTCTGTCTCTCTCTCTCTCTCACACACACACACACACACACAGACACACACACACACATACATGCAAATAAATATAGATATTTGAGAACGCTTAAATATCCCTCGGAGTGTATTTGTTGTTTTTCACGAATGTATGCAGATATTGACACATAGCGTCATACAGGGAGGTGTAGAGAGAAGAAACTTACACTCGGCAAGTTGGGTTCACGCCTGCGGTTGTCGTTAAAACATATTGTGAAAAATGTCATTTTAGATGAAGCAAGTTTACATATGACAAACAGAATTGTTGTAATCGTATAACTTTGTGGTTTCAGTTGATACTAAAGGTCTGATTAGCTGTTTGTACATTCACCATTATTACTTATGAATGATTATAACATTAAACGTACAATCATAATGCAGAGAATGTTCAGGCTTCTACACATTCGCTAACAAAAGGCGCAGTGCAGAGTTTGTTGGTAGTACATTCGATGTGATAGCGCCAGTGGTAAGTGGGGATTGCTAGCCCAACGATCAGATTCTTAAAATTTATAAATATGCCCCAAAAGGAGACCCAATGAATTGGGAGATTAAGATTTGAACCCTCTGCCTCAGGGCTGATTAGAAGAGAATGGCAAATTTGTATGTGATTGAGTGAATGAGTTTAGTTTTACACCGCACACAGCATTATTCCAGCCATATGGCGGCGGCCCGTAAATAATCGATTCTGGACCAGACAGCCCAGTGATCAACAGCATGATCATCGATCTGCGCAATAGGGAACCGATGACATGGTGTATGTATGTATGATGTGTGCGTGCGTATGTGTGTGTGGTTTGTGTTTATGTGTTTTACTCAATGTTTCTTTGAATACTGATTACTGGAAATAGAAGACAGAAAATCGGGCATATCGCTGACATTTGCAGATATTCCCAAAGAGTCTCCCATATAATAACCTCCACAAAACCACTTTGTTCCTGTTCCTGCGATAACCCCCCACCCCTACACCAACCCTTCTTCTTGGCGTTCAGAAAGTGTTATGGTTGCACAGATAACGGAACGTGGCTGGGCCTGCAATTCCAGTTGTCTCTCACTGGGTTCTGTGTCCTATTTTGCGTTATTTCAGCCCGCGATCGCGTGTGCAATGTGGTTGAGGTTCATCGCAAGGCGCAGGTAACATGACATAATACATTGTTTTATAAATATGGCAAAACCAAAAGAATACCCCCAATCAATCTTTGAAACAAAATGATGTTTCGGTATTTCTTGGCAAAACCAAGTCGTGTCCGTTGCCTCCGTCCACAGAACAGCTAAATTCCTTAGTCGTGGGGTCGAATTTCAAGATTTGCACTGATTATAATCCCTTGCTTGTGAGCTGGGTGTCCTGGGTATAACCGTCGATGTATAACCGTCGTGGTAAACCCTAGACAACCCCACCCCCAATATCCGACACATCAACATATAACGGCGATCAAACCATTTGGACTAATTAACATTTAGCTTTGAACCAAGACTTCCCTACCATAAACCCATAAATCAACATGGTGATTGACAAGTAATACCGATTGTTGAGGTGGCCATTGACATCACTGATAATAGGGTTGCCAGCAGCACACCACTGCTGTCACAAAAACCCACATCTTAAACACTTTAATCTCAAATAAACGTATCACATACTTAATCGCCATGTCCATATTAGCATCTGACCGTGCACCACAGAGAGTGTAAAGTTGTTCTTTGTTCTGAAGTGTAACAATACCTGGCAATGTTCATCATGCGTGGAGTGAGCCTATACAATACGTCGATAGTCACAATGCCTCACTTCCTCATTCACACGTTTGTCAACGTCAACTAACGGTATTAAAACTGGCCTTACAGTACTTATCTGTGTTGTGATAGGAAGAATGTATACACACAATAGCATTCGTCCCGCGTGGTGCGTTGTTTTGCTGATACAATCACCTATTCGAACCTAAGACTTTTTTTTCTGTTCCATACAAATATGTCTCTTTTGAAAATTTTAATTGAACAAGGACATAAACAATCCTTAGTGGCAAATATTGGGGCTATTTTTCCATGAATCGTCAAATATACTCTGCAAAAAAGAAACGCATATGTGTATTTTCATTTAATCTGCTCACGGTTCCTCAGAACTGCGCATACAAATTGTAAAACCACTTTTTCTCTATGACACTTCCATGAAAGTTTAACACTTTGGAACGTAAACAAAGAAGCGTTTTTATTTTGCGCTGTGCGTTCTTTCCATGTACACAAACAAGCATTATTATGGTGAAATTATAACAAACACTAATTTTGAAAAAAAACCAAAAACACTTGAAATTTCATATATCAATATCACATATGCGTTTCTTTTTAAGGAGAGTATGTGCAAGTGTATTTCAACTTTGCTGAATAATTCTCACATAGCAATTCAGAAGAGAATAACAAACATAATCTTCACTTATAACGTGATGATGGAACGAATTAGCCGAGCAGTTATCTGGAAAATTTAATCCGATGAAATATGGCATTTTTATCAAACTATGTGCTCTATTGTAAACAAATGTAGAACCACACCCAGCGCCATCAGCACATTATAACTGACAAAATACTATTTCAATATTTGTCATTACCTATCAAAAGAAAGATATTGGCAATCTATATAAAAGGTCGATAAAGTAAAGAGTAAATCACTATGGTATTATTCGAGAAATTCCTCAGAATACGGTAATGTACGAACAGTTGTTCGACTCAGTGATGCTTGCCCGGTGCATAGACTGGCGGACTTTCAGAGGGAACCAGACTTATCACCTGTACTGGGTTCTGCTGACCTAAGGATTTTTAAACTCGCCGACAATATTGGACGACATCATCCATCCATTAATCATTTGCATTTTATACATCAGAAACGCATCACAACCGACCAAATATATATCAACAAATAGACCAGATGGATTCATCCATAAAACAACATAATGCGTCCCGGATAATCAAACGCCGATCTTGTTCTCATCTGTGGGGGACATTATACAGGTGACTGGAGTTTGATACACGAATCTCCACACCACAATACTTCCTTCTTCTCAAATAATAAACCCTAGAGGTGCTCACACGCAAAGGTGGCGTACCTAATATGAAAGGGCTTTATTTCCAAACAGGATTTTTATTTCGGACTTAAGTCAAATGGCGGAAGGTAAACAATTAAACCAGCATTGATATTAATAACAACAAACATATTATTCCGTTTTTATTTTGATTGTAAATGATAGACAACAGTAACAGCGACAAAGTGTTACATCGAAAATGCCATACTATTGGTAGGGTTTACCCCCTGGACACTGAAATACCGTTTTGCTCTTCCTCTTTCAAAATGTTGCCACAGAATTTTCTCTTTCGGAAAGTCCCGAATGGATGTATATATTGTAAGGTAGTGCTGTGTTTGACCAGACAGCTGTTCGGAATTGCCAACAAACCCACAGGTCTGTCATCTAACATCGACAAGATAAGGATGTTTCTTCTTCGCCTCGCCCTGTTCCTGTGTGCTGCAGTCGCTGCTCGGTGCCTTCCACGGAAGAACGTCAACACCAGAGAACGAAGACAAGTCGCCAACTGCCAACCTCCAGCCAACCTCAGCCTCCTGTTTGAGAACCTCAACCAACACCTCAACGCTTCCATGTATCTACAAATGTCTGAGCTGGCCGGCAACAATTCCAAACTGCCCATGGCCACTGAGCTGAACTACCATCTGGTGAACGACAGCCAGACAGGAGGCCAATCGTGCCCATCTTCGGTGAGCGATGACCCCAACGCCCCAGTTTTCTCCCGATCCATCTGTCCCTGGTGGTACAACATCACGGAGCTGCCCGCCGGACACTTCCCATCCTTCATCCCACAGGCTGTCTGCAAGTGTTCGGCTTGTGTCGGCAACGACGTTAACGAGTGTTCCCGAGTGTCAACCAACATCCGGGTCCTGCAGGAGATAGGGTGCCAAGATGGATTCTATAAGTACAAGCCAGTCTTGAAGACTCACCATGTGGGCTGCACGTGCACCAAGAAGCGAACGTCCCCGACAACTAACGACTGTGGCGGCTGGGGCTGCGCCAGCTAGATGACAGTACCACGTGGACAGCGTCACGTCGTCATGGCGACAGTGCCATATAGACGAACCAAACAAGATAACTGTATGCTCGCTGTACGCTCTTAGACTTCGTATCGAAGTGGGAGAGTTTAGTATGTCAGATACTGACAAAACATAAGACGTGATTAATAGCTAAGTTTTTAAAAGTCGTTTTATAATCAAACGTAACATTCTTATCATGTTCCTATCAAATGTTGATCTCCAAGAGACCATAGTTTTAGCGTCCAATTTTTTAAAGATTGTTTTGTATTCGAACGGAATCATTCCAATGAGGATTATGCCATTCCAGCTGAACTGACGCCCACGGGAGATATTGCTGTAAAATATTTGCATCACATTGCTTGTGAGATCGTTGTGTGGTGAAAGGTCGCAGTGATGTTACTAATCTCTCTACAGCGGTACCTTTTGCAATAACGACACTACTTATTACTGTTATAAACGGAAAATGAGTAAATACGTTGAATGAATTTCACCCTCGTGTGTTATATGTCAAATATACAAACTCATATGCTTTATCGACTAGTGTTGGTGTAATTGCTTATAATTTGGCTGAAGCATGTCACAGCTGAGTAAACATACCATAGTGTAGGATAAATATCCGTTTTGCAATAAAAAATCGCCCAATCGTTTATATCTAAGTGGTCATCTTTATACCATCTCACGTAAAATACGTTTAACAAGACAACTATCAGCTCTGTTTGTTTCAACTGAGAGCCAAGAGGGTGTCACTTTACAGGGCAGCCAGGGAAGCGGAAAAATTGAGTCGTTCAAGGAGCAAGTGATGTCTTATGTATTATGTAATTATTTTTGCATAGCCATGTCTTTTCACATCCACGCACCAGCAAAACATTCAGCAACCTAAGCATCAAACACATAGATCTTTCATGAGCTATTGTAACATTCACCCGTTGTTACAGGTAACTATATTATAACCACCTTGTTGTTACAAGTACTGTAATGTAACCACCCTATTGTGACAGTTACTGTAATGTTACCACCCTATTGTGACAGTTACTGAAATGTAACCACCTTGTTGTTACAGGTACTGTAATGTAACCATCCTATTGTTACAGTTACTGAAATGTAACCACCCTATTGTGACAGTTACTGTAACATTACCACCTATTGTGACAGTTACTGTAACATTACCACCCTATTGTGACAGTTACTCAAATGTAACCACCTTGTTGTTACAGGTACTCTATTGTAATGTAACCATCCTATTGTTACAGTTACTGAAATGTAACCACCCTATTGTGACAGTTACTGTAACATTACCACCTATTGTGACATTTACTCAAATGTAACCACCCTATTGTGACAGTTACTGAAATGTAACCACCCTATTATGGCAGTTACTGAAATGTAACCACCTATTATGGCAGTTACTGAAATGTAACCACCCTATTGTCGCAGTTAACTGTAATGTAACCACCCTATTGTTACAGTTACTGAAATGTAATCACCCTGTTATGGCAGTTACTAAAATGTAACCACCCTATTATGACAGTTACTGAAATGTAACCAACCTATTGTGACAGTTACTGAAATGTAACCACCCTATTATGACAGTTACTGAAATGTAACCACCCTATTATGGCAGTTACTGAAATGTAACCACCCTATTGTGGCAGTTACTGAAATGTAACCACCCTATTGTCGCAGTTAACTGTAATGTAACCACCCTATTATGGCAGTTACTGAAATGTAACCACCCTATTATGGCAGTTACTGAAATGTAACCACCCTATTGTGGCAGTTACTTAAATGTAACCACCCTATTGTCGCAGTTAACTGTAATGTAACCACCCTATTATGGCAGTAACTGAAATGTAACCACCCTATTGTGGCAGTTAACTGTAATGTAACCACCCTATTGTGACAGTTACTGAAATGTAACCACCCTATTGTGGCAGTTACTGAAATGTAACCACCCTAGTGTGACAGTTAACTGTAATGTAACCACGCTATTGTCGCAGTTAACTGTAATGCAAGCACTCTATTGTGGTAGTTAACTGTAATGTAACCACCTATTGTCACAGTTAACTGTAATGTAACCACGCCTATTGTCGCAGTTAACTGTAATGCAAGCACTCTATTGTGGTAGTTAACTGTAATGTAACCACCCTGTTCTGGCAGTTAACTGTTATGTAACCACGCTATTGTGACAGTTAACTGAAATGTAACCACCCTATTGTGGCAGTTAACTATAATGTAACCACGTTATTGTGACAGTTAACTGAAATGTAACCCCCAATTGTGGCAGTTAACTGTAACGTAACCACCCTGTTTTGACAGGTACTGAAATGTAACCAGCCTATTGTGACAGTTATTCAAATCTAACGGGAATCGAAATTCTGCAAGTAAATTTAGACTGAATGTATGAACGAATTTCGGGATCTTGTCAAACTACAAACAGTTCCTCGTATTTTTTGAGTCAAAACGTGTTTTGTTTCTGCAGGAGGCCATGCTAAATTTTAATGAACCCAGAACTTAGTCTCCAAATCGCACACTCTTTCTTTCACTAAACGTGAGCTGCGGTTAACACGAATTTCCATCAACATAGTCCAACTGAGTGATTCTTTGTTGGATGGATCAAATGGATCAATTTCCTATCAAGCAACAAATCCCACTGCTGTTACTGTTCATGTCACGTAAGGTTACGGTGAAACATGTTCAACAGACACCGCAAAAGCTACCTCCTTTCTCCAACACGTTATAATGACGTTGTCTGTAGTCTCTGCACGCCTATAGCCAAGTTGTAAACGGGTCTATGAGATGACTGAAATCTGCTTCCAAGAATGATTACGCCACATAACAGATTTACTGAATTAAACCGCTTGTTGTAACAACTGACACTTACTCAGGTATTAACGTGAGTCTTATAACCGTGATACGGGGGGGCATCCGTGGGCGTTGGCAACAACATCGTATGTCGACCCCATCTGCACCATCCCGATGGCTCTTTCTCTCCCTTCAGCTGTTAATCGTGGCATATTTCTCGTACTTGTGTATCAGATCATTTCTTCTGGGCTCTCTTTATACCCTATAGAATCATTCTGCATGTGAAATGGATGTAAATACTGTTTGAATATTGCTGCGTTTTAGTGATTGATATTGCTATGTGTAAAATGGAAATGGAAAAATTGTACTTTGCAAGCACAAATGTTAACAAAGATAATTGTAGATGTGACAATATCAAAGACACATTTTACTTGTTTTCACTAATGCAAATCAGCAGAAAATGTTTTAAAAGACAGAAACCATAGCAAAGATTATTTTACAATTATATAAACTCTAAAACAGTTGTTTCTTGTTTTAATGGTTGAAAAATGGTGACTTTAAATGGTTTATCATTGTCCCAAGGCAGAATTTTATTTCAACCTTTCTTTTGGACATCAAAATCACTATTATTGTTTTTATCGGCATGGACGAATATAGGACAATTTAACTCTTCTGAAAAAGATGCATTTCACCCAAATATGAATGCATTTCAGAATGTTTTTTCGTGATTTGTATAAAGCTTTGTTGTTAAGCTTCCTTGTAAACTAAAACCTTCTAAAATATCTTTGATAGTTTTTAAGTAATTCATAAAGGTAGGAGGGTAACGTTTCTTTTGGCGTTTAGTGTATGTTACACTGTTAAAACTAGACATATAACTGACAGTTCGGACAAACTCCAAAAATAAAGAGAATTGCAGAGGTGTATCAGTTCACACAAGATGTGGGCGGTGGGGTAGCCTAGTGGTTCAGGCGTTCGCTCGTATAACATGTACAATGTGTTAAGCCCATTTCTGGTGTTCCCAGCCGTGATATTGCTGGAATATTGCTAAAAGCGGCGTAAAACCAAACTCACTCACTCACTCACTCACACAAGATGTCGGCCTGGGAATAAAGGACTCATGTTGGAGTCAGGCCTTGTCAGTACAGACAGATTGAGGCATAGAGTCTGAATATGTATAATTTTAACAGAAACAAACAATTCCTTTTAAGTTGATTAAGAGCCCAGTGAGATGTGAGATTCAGAAGAAAGTTCGTTTTTAAGCATATGATAACAGACCCTGAAACCGAGGAAAGCTGGACTCGCTACATTTATGGCTTTAGCACTGCAGGAAGTGAAAATAATGAGGTTGAGTGATTGTGAGACAGACTACAGTACAGCGTGTAACACCGCCAGCCCAACCCGACAGACAGTCGCCTGAAGAGGTAACGCTTTGTTTAGCGATGGTGCTTGGGCTGCTGGGACATGGGGGCTTCTGGAAGGTTAAGTATACACGAATGTTCCAACAGTAAACATAATTAATGTGTGTATGGTCTCCGCTATTGTGGGTACAAATATGTTGTCTAACTGTATCATCCTTCTACCATATAGTAATGTAATGTATTATTAGACTATAAAAAGGACTATGTATATGTTGAGTTTTGATTCATACACAGGTTCACCATATGTTATGGAGCAGCTCCCTGCAGCACCTGCCCAGCTTCAAGACAAGGGCTGAATGTATCGGTTTCATGTCAACATGACCGCCACAACAGGGAAAACACGGGGTGAGTGTGTGGAGCGCAACATCTAGGCCACCTGTAGATAACACCTGTTGTTACAGGCATAGGCTGTCATACAGCCCCCGAAACAAATATATCTATGTCTAGAATATGTGGCAAGTCTAGATTTCCACCGTTTCGGTTTCTGAAAAGGAAGAAAGTCTCTGGGCTCCTTTTCGTTATATGTTATGTTGCTTTTTATGAACAGGTTTTTTTTCTGTAAAATATGTTCGGAGACTAGTCTATACCCGACACAGTGTGTCAGTAACCTGTTTCAAGTAGCTTAATGTCAGTAACCTGGTTTCAATATCGGTTTCATATCAATATGATGACACAACTGATCAGTGTATCGTGTTCCGTGGCAAATACGTAACGCCCACACCAGAGAATAACCAGTATCCATTATCTGTGAAACAGGTCGGCGTTAGCGACATAACCGTGACAGCCATATGTACAGGTCACGCAAATGGCACTGTCATGTCTACAACTGTAGACAGTTAGTTAATGAACCATTAGGTAAATATCAAGTCATTAGAGAATAATGAGTTGACATAACGACCTTGTAACGTCTGATTATGATTGTTATGGGAATAACGCTGCACACATAGTAGGTCTATAGTCTTGATACATTAATGCATCAATGCGCACATAAGTGCACAACACTCCATGTGGTCGTTAGAATCTAGGTTCAGTTGTAGAACAGACAGTGCCATTTGCGTGAGGGGGCATCCAGTTTGTTGGGGAGGTAGGGGGAGGGGTCTTCAAGTTTGTGCACGTACATGTACTAGGGGTATCGTTGAGGTGTACATGACATGGGGGGGGCACTTACTTTGTACATACATTTTTTGAGGGGAGGGGGTGCATTCACATTGTACATGCTTGCCCATAAAAATTTCCAACACCCCCTTGCCATAATTCATGACCAGTTTCTTATTGTGTGATAACAAATGGGCGAATAATGTTAATCTTATCCCGTCGGAGTAGTGTCGCTTGACCCCCACCACACGTGACCAGATGACAAATATCTGGTGCAGTCTCAGCCCTGAAACCTGGCAAAGCAGCCATTTTAGAAACAATTGTTTGATTCATTATATATCATCAAAGCCGATATGGGGTTTAATTAAAAAAAATCAATAAACTTAAGAATATGTGAAAGATGTAACTGTTAAACCTTTGTTTTGTTTTAAGGTTCCCCCCGGAGGTATGTTACAACAAATCCTAGGTAAGTAGTGTCACAGTAGACCACAATCACGCACCTGTCTCTACCACGCCACATGTTTACACACAACTGTAGATCTCCAATATGTATACAGTGAAGCCCCGTTAGTCCGGACTCCGATAATCCGGAAGTCTCGCCTCCCGGACGATTTCAGCTTGTTACCAATCTATGCCTATATAATTTGCCTCGATAATCCGGAAATTCGGTTTCCGGAACCGGACGGTAAGTAGCTGTCACCAATCAGTAAAATAAACAGTAAATTGCTTCACAGTCCGGACGCTGTTAAGTCGTGTTCACGAACTGTAACAACACTTCCCGGCGATGTTTACTTAACTGGCCTCAAACAATATACACTCGGTGTCATGGAGTTGACAAGATGAACTCTTGTTAACTTTTGAGAAATGTCAGTTAACGGTTGTTGTTTTAATTACACATAAAAGCTCCCGACTGAAGCTGTACATTTACAGTTTGATTGACACCTGTATATACTGTATATACTAAACGACCCTCGTGTAATACCACTTTTATTAAACGAGTTAATGATTTGTTATCAAACGAGCGAAAGCGAGTTTGATATAAATGTTTCACGAGTTTAATAAAAATGGTATTTCACGGAAGCGAGTTTAGTATTCTGTGTATTACTCTCCAAAATAAACTGATAGAAACTCAGCTTTCCGCGAGTCAAGCGAGGCCTAATGCCATTGTGACAGAGGTATTAGCATTGTGATGTCATAACCGTAAACCACTATAACGTCATCCGTCTAGCGGTATTACACTAGTGTAATATTGCAGTAACAATATTATACTGCAGTATCTTCCACGGGCGAGTAATAAATCTATATATAGCATAGTATTACTCATTTCGTGTAGATAGAGTGGGTTTCGAGTAACGCCAATTTGTAGAGTATCCCAGTTATATATATCTCTCTCTATCTCTCAAACGATCAAATGATCAAACTCTACGGCAGTAACCTCCACTCTCAGTAACAAAACACACAGTGTAACGTCTAGGGTGTTTCTTGCAGAGTCTACGAAGCAGTACATCACCCATTTCGACGCGGCAAAGCATGTTTCGACGTATGCTGAAAGGACGGCGATGCGGATATTGGAGCAGTCAGGGGCAATCTATATGACAGGAAAGTCCGGGTCTGGAAAAACTAGAATAGGATTAGCCATATTAGCAGCAATTTCAGAGAAGACAGACAGGATACCAATTATCCTCACCTCCGCGAAACAATGGAACTACATTCCACAGGGAAACGTCGGCAAAGACAGCTACACAATTATGATTGATGATATATTTGGATCTTGGAGCGTAGTGAATGCTAGGGTTGATGAATGGTCGAGGCGGTTTGATATCATGTGGCCCACTGTTGAGTCCGGGCAGGTGCTCCTGGTGTTAGTGTCAAGGAGTGGCATTGGGGCACATCACATGCCGTCTTTACAGAAATACAAAATCATACGGAATGCACACATGATAGATCTTGATGAAGGGCCGTATGCCTTGAGATACTTTGAAAAAGTAAAATTAGTCAGGAAGTATTGTGCAATGGAAATTGGTGCTTCACAAGAAGACATTGAGAAAATAGTGGGTGAAGACACTCCCCTTGGATTCCCTCAGTGCTGTATCTTCTTACATACAACCAGGCATACCCATGTTAAAGGACTTCAGTTTTTCAAAAGACCGTATGAGTTCATTGCAGAGGATGTGGAGGTCCTGAAAGAGACTGACCAACTGGGGTATTATGTCTTGTTGATGATAATCGTGATGAATAACAGTCTTGACATAAAACTCCTTAACAATCCCACAGCAGAATTCAATCGTTTACGAGAGAATATACGAAATGCATGCACATACTTCACCTCTAATCCTTCGTGTCAGAAACTAAAGGAAAAGGCCGACTTACTCTGTGGAAAGTATCTCTCTGAAACAGGTCAAAGGTATACTTTCCGTCATCAGTCTATACTGGAAGCTGTTGTACTCAATGCAGCTGAAGAAAACAAAGAACTGTTTCTCCGATATTGCCCAGTACAAACACTTCTCGAGTTTGTGTCTCTGCGTACTGATTGCAGTAACGTATCTTTGTGCATCAAACAGGAGGAATACAGAAGCTTGGTCTCTCGAGTCACAGATATAATACTATCTGAAAATTGCAGTTCAATCTTGTCTCATTCAGCTTTCCACCATCCTAGATTTCTTGAATGTTTATCAGATGAATGGAATGATGACGTCATACTTCAAATCTCAAGCTATGCTGCCACACCACACAATTTGACGTTAACAGTGGCTAATATGAAAATATTTCACATGTTTTCAGATCCGTTGTCTTTTTTCGGCTCACAATTTCGGGACGAAGAAGTTATATTCACATATAAATACGCAGTTTCTTTCTTTATAATGCAAAGGCTTCCAGTACTGGTGAAGCTAGTCCTACATGGTGTCGATCAACAGGAGGTAAAGGAAGAAGCGCTGAAGTGTGCTCTGTACATACAAGACCATGCTACCATTGACTTTCTTCTCCAGCAAGAGGTGACCATCTCACAAGAGTGCATGACGATAATTTGCTGCATCCGTGATGTAGATCAGAGTATAACCAACACAATATGCCACCACTTTGAAGATGAACATGAGGTTCTGTCCAGCCCAGAAAAACTCCTTTCATTGGCTGTTCAACATGGAAACATTAGAGCTGTACAATTTCTTGTCAAGAAGATGTCGGGATTGACAAACTGTGGTAAAATATATTTTCGGTGCCTGGAACAGTTGATGGTACAGTGTGACATGGGAAATAGAAGTGTGCCCCCTATCTCAAGCAATGCCATACCGGTTCTTGAAATCATGACAATACTTATGAGCGTACAGACACCGTCGTCTTACCATCACCTTCTGCTATCAGCCTCGGCCCATGATACAACACTAGCGCTTGAATGGTTGTTGAATCATACAGATGCGCCCGTGATTACTGCGGACATGGAGGAGGTAATGGAGATGGTTGCTACACATGGAATATCTGATAACTTGAGTATTCTCCTAAAGAAAGGAATACCTTTCAAAAAGACCATTTTACTTGGAGCGACAAAATCGCGATGTCAGAGTGGAGGGAAAATTGTCCTCTTATTAGAAGCATTTCGCAAAGCTGTTCACGCTGGATCACAGTTGCAAGGCAATGAAAATAGCGATCGCGGCACGTTTGGCGTCAACGTAGAAGATGAGAATAAAAATAATCCCCTTCACATAGCAGCTTTACGTGGAGATGCTGACAGTGTTGGAGTCCTTCTTGGGGCTGGTGCAGACATCAGTCATGTGAACAAAGATGGACTTACACCTTTACAGTGTGCGACCTTAGCAGGTAGTACAGAATGCGTAAAGTGTCTCTTACAGTCTGTAAAGAAGCGTCATACAGAATGCTCTGATAGCATTGAGCTTGTTAGTCCTGCTCATGTATGGCATGACGGGTCATTTAAGTCCTTCCCTTCACTGAATACGCTACGTTTTCTGTTGATGCCTAATTCAACTGGGAGTACGCCTAAAGCTCTCTTAGATCTGCTGCTTGGTCAGGCTATGTACTTAGAAACGACGGACGAATATGGTAGAACACCTATGTTTTACGCCTCAGCTTTGTCAGATCTGCCTCTAATCAAGCATTTATTAAGACTCGGAGCAAAGCTGGATGTACAGGACTGCAATGGTAGGACAGTTCTGCATGAGGCAGCAAGGCATGCTGATATTGAAACATTCATGTTGTTGTGTGAGAGTGGCTGTGAGATCGACGTGAAGACATCCACTAGTCAAACAGTTGTACATGAAGCTGCCGAGTCAAGGGACAATGTGAAGACACCCACTGGTCAAACAGTTGTACATGAAGCTGCGGAGTCAAGGGTCGATGTGAAGACACCCACTGGCCAAACAGTTGTACATGAAGCTGCCGAGTCAAGGGACGATGTGAAGACATCCACTGGTCAAACAGTTGTACATGAAGCTGCCGAGTCAAGGGACGATGTGAAGACACCCACCGGTCAAACAGTTGTACATGAAGCTGCCGAGTCAAGGGACGGTGTGAAGACATCCACTGGTCAAACAGTTGCACAAGAAGCTGCCGAGTCAAGGGTCGATGTGAAGACATCCACTGGTCAAACAGTTGTACATGAAGCTGCCGAGTCAAGGGACGATGTGAAGACATCCACTGGTCAAACAGTTGTACATGAAGCTGCCGAGTCAAGGGACGGTGTGAAGACATCCACTGGTCAAACAGTTGTACATGAAGCTGCCGAGTCAAGGGACGGTGTGAAGACATCCACTGGTCAAACAGTTGCACAAGAAGCTGCCGAGTCAAGGGTCGATGTGAAGACATCCACTGGTCAAACAGTTGTACATGAAGCTGCCGAGTCAAGGGACGATGTGAAGACATCCACTGGTCAAACAGTTGTACATGAAGCTGCCGAGTCAATCTGCTCCGTGTGGACGGTGTGAAGACATCCACTGGTCAAACAGTTGTACATGAAGCTGCCGAGTCAAGGGACGAAAGACATCTACCAGCCAAACAGTTGTACATGAAGCTGCCGAGTCAAGGGACGGTGTGAAGACATCCACTGGTCAAACAGTTGCACAAGAAGCTGCCGAGTCAAGGGTCGATGTGAAGACATCCACTGGTCAAACAGTTGTACATGAAGCTGCCGAGTCAAGGGACGATGTGAAGACATCCACTGGTCAAACAGTTGTACATGAAGCTGCCGAGTCAAGGGACGATGCTGCGGAGAAATTAAGATATCTGCTCCGTGTGAGAAATATTCCACTTTCCTGTGACAATGAAGGCAGATCTGCCTTGTTTAATGCTGTTCACACAGATGACATGGAAGTTGTAGAATATCTTGTTGCTAATGGCCTTAGCTTGGAAGTAAGTGACAAATCAGGAATGAACCTTTTGCATGAAGCATGCCTCCATGGGAGCATGGCCAGTTTTCAGTATTTGTTAACCTCGAAACTGCTGGATGTTAACGCAAAAGCCATGATCGCAGGAAATCATCACGGAAATACTCCACTACTTTTTGCGATCAGTAACAGTGCCCTGACAAACAGTGTGATGGCGACAGCTCTTATAGAACAGGGGGCCGATGTTCATGTAAGAAACAGCCTGGGCAGAACGCCTTTACATGAAGCAGTACAGATAGCGACAACAACAAAATTAAGTCCAAAACAAAAGAAACAGATGATGCTTGACCGGTCGATTAATCAATGGATTTCACAACAAAAACAAGATGTATTTAAACTGGTCCAGCTCATCTTAGACAAAGGCGTCGATATAAACAGTGCTGACAATGCAGGTGACACAGCACTGCATCTCAGTCTGTGGCCCCCAACGAGTACACAGATCACTCGGTTGTTGTTAGAAAAGGATGCATGCGTGCACGTTAAAGGACGTCGTGGTGAGACGCCACTTCACCGCGCAGTTCGGCTAAGATGTCTACAAAGTATTATCGAGCTGATGCTGAAGAAAGGGTCGGATCCTAATGCACGAGATGACCAAGGCAGAACATCTCTTCATTTGATAGTGGTATATTCCTACACTCAGATTGTGCAAGTCTTGGTTAAGCATGGGGCAGATCTACAAGTCCAAGACGAAGACGGAAACACAGTGCTACATCATGCTGCTCTCAACCCACGGGGTACACGAAGACTGATGGAGATACTAGTGGACGCAGGCGTGAACCCACACATTCTGAATAAGGAAGGGAAATCTGCTTTTGAACTACGGAAAGTAAATATTTAGATGGCCCTTCTCGACGGGCAGACATTGATAATGTGTCATTTATAAATAGGCGATTTATAAGTGTGACTGCGTAAAGTAACTCTGTCAACGAACCTGGCCTTCAGTATTGGTTCATCATTACTGCAGAGCTGACAGCTACCTGCACTAGGCATGTTTGCAAACCCTACAGGACTCGTCACCTCGTGCCTTTTTCCAGTCGTCTGTGGCCATATAGTGCTGTAGACAGTGACACCCATTAGGAGAACATGTTAGCTCAACTCATCTCATATATTTTCTCGGAATAGACACCCACGGTTGTAAAGGAGATACAACTATATACAATGTGAAATGTGCACAAATGACATGATAAATGAAAACAGGATGCATAGTTACTCATACGTTTTACTGTAGTACTGATGGTTTCAAATGAGAATGGTTAATTAAACAATACCTCAAATCTGGGAATGTTCTATTATAAGTCAATACGGTAAATGGCAATGAATACCCTGTAACTGCTGTTTATTATGTTAATACCCATCCCTAGGAACAGGTTGTTTAAGAAACTATCGTGTTGTTATTTGTTGATGGCCACCACTGTAGGTATGGGACAATTGCTTGTGTCACTGTTGATGGTCACAACTGTAGGTGAGGGACGATTGCTTGTGTCACTGTTGATGGACACAACTGTAGGTGAGGGACGATTGCTTGTGTCACTGTTGATGGTCACAGCGGTAGGTGAGGGACGATTGCTTGTGCCACTGATGATGGTCACAGCTGTAGGTGGGAGACGATTGCTTGTGTCACTGTTGATTGACACAACTGTAGGTATGGGACAATTGCTTGTGTCACTGTTGATGGTCACAGCGGAAGGTGAGAGACGATTCTTTGTGTCACTGTTGATGGTCACAAATGTAGGTGGGGTACGGTTGTTTGTGTCACTGTTGATGGACACAAATGTAGGTGGGGGACGATTATTTGTGTCACTGTTGATGGACACAACTGTAGGTGGGGGACGATTGCTTGTGTCACTGTTGATGGACACAACTGTAGGTGAGGGACAATTACTTGAGTCCCTGTTGACGGACACAACTGTAGGTGGGGACGATTGCTTGTGTCACTGTTGATGGACACAACTGTAGGTGAGCGACGATTGCTTGTGTCACTGTTGATCGACACAACTGGAGGGGAGGGACGATTGCTAGTGTCACTGTTGATGGACACAACTGTAGGTGAGGGACGATTGTTTGTGTCACTGTTGATGGTCACAACTGTAGGTGGGGACGATTGTTTGTGTCACTGTTGATGGACACAACTGTAGGTGGGGACGATTGTTTGTGTCACTGTTGATGGACACAACTGTAGGTGGGGACGATTGTTTGTGTCACTGTTGATGGACACAACTGTAGGTGGGGACGATTACTTGTGTCACTGTTGATGGACACAACTGTAGGTGGGGACGATTGTTTGTGTCACTGTTGATGGACACAACTGTAGGTGGGGACGATTGTTTGTGTCACTGTTGATGGACACAACTGTAGGTGAGGGACGATTGCTTGTGTCACTGTTGATGGTCATAACTGTAGGTGAGGGACGATTGTTTGTGTCACTGTTGATGGACACAACTGTAGGTGGGGACGATTGTTTGTGTCACTGTTGATGGTCACAACTGTAGGTGGGGACGATTGTTTGTATCACTGTTGATGGACACAACTGTAGGTGGGGACGATTGTTTGTGTCACTGTTGATGGTCACAACTGTAGGTGGGGACGATTGCTTGTGTCACTGTTGATGGACACAACTGTAGGTGGGGACGATTGCTTGTGTCACTGTTGATGGTCACAACTGTAGGTGAGGGACGATTGCTTGTGTCACTGTTGATGGTCATAACTGTAGGTGAGGGACGATTGTTTGTGTCACTGTTGATGGACACAACTGTAGGTGGGGACGATTGCTTGTGTCACTGTTGATGGTCACAACTGTAGGTCGGGGACGATTGCTTGTGTCACTGTTGATGGACACAACTGTAGGTGGGGACGATTGTTTGTGTCACTGTTGATGGACACAACTGTAGGTGGGGACGATTGTTTGTGTCACTGTTGATGGACACAACTGTAGGTGGGGACGATTGTTTGTGTCACTGTTGATGGTCACAACTGTAGGTGGGGACGATTGCTTGTGTCACTGTTGATGGACACAACTGTAGGTGGGGACGATTGTTTGTGTCACTGTTGATGGTCACAACTGTAGGTGGGGACGATTGCTTGTGTCACTGTTGATGGACACAACTGTAGGTGGGGGACGATTTGCTTGTGTCACTGTGGTTTGGTTGTGACGATTGCTTGTGTCACTGTTGATGGTCACAACTGTGGGTGGGGGACGATTGCTTGTGTCACTGTTGATGGACACAACTGTAGGTGGGGGACGATTGCTTGTGTCACTGTTGATGGTCATAACTGTAGGTTGGGGACGATTGTTTGTGTCACTGTTGATGGATACAACTGTAGGTGAGGACGATTGTTTGTGTCACTGTTGATGGTCATAACTGTGAGTGAGGGACTATTGTTAGTGTCACTGTTGATGGACACAACTGTAGGTGAGGGACGATTGTTTGTGTCACTGTTGATGGACACAACTGTAGGTGGGGACGATTGCTTGTGTCACTGTTGATGGTGATAACTGTAGGTGGGGACGATTGCTTGTGTCACTGTTGATGGACACAACTGTAGGTGAGGACGATTGCTTGTGTCAGTGATGATGGACACGACTGTAGGTTAGGACGATTGCTTGTGTTACTGTTGATGGATACAAACTGTAGGTAGGGGACGATCGCTTGTGTCACTGTTGATGGACACAACTGTAGGTGGGGGACGATTGCTTGTGTCACTGTTGGTGGGGGACGATTGTTTGTGTCACTGTTGATGGACATACCTGTCGGTGAGGACCGATTGCTTGTGTCACTGTTGATTGACACACATGTAGGTGGGTGACGATTGCTTGTGTCACTGTTGATGGACACAACTGTTGGTGGGGCACAATTGTTTGTGTCATTGTTGATGGACACAACTGTAGGTGAGGACCGATTGGTAGTGTCACTGTTGATGGTCACAACTGTAGGTGAGGACCGATTTCTTGTGTCACTGTTGATGGTCACAATTGTAGGTTGTGACGATAGCTTGTATCACTGTTGATTGTCACAGTTGTAGGTGGTGAACGATTGTTTGTGTCACTGTTGATGGACATAAATGTAGGTGGGCGACAATTGTTTCTGTCACAGTTGATGGTCACAACTGTGGGTGGGGGACGATTGCTTGTGTCACTGTTGATGGACACAACTGTAGGTGGGGGACGATTGCTTGTGTCACTGTTGATGGTCACAACTGTAGGTGAGGACGATTGCTTGTGTCACTGTTGATGGAAACAACTGTAGGTGAGGACGATTGCTTGTGTCACTGTTGATGGTCACAACTGTAGGTGGGGACGATTGTTAGTGTCACTGTTGATGGACACAACTGTAGGTGAGAACGATTGCTTGTGTCACTGTTGATGGTCACAACTGTAGGTGGGGACGATTGTTTGTGTCACTGTTGATGGACACAACTGTAGGTGGGGGACGATTGTTTGTGTCACTGTTGATGGTCACAACTGTAGGTGGGGACGATTGCTTGTGTCACTGTTGATGGTCATAACTGTAGGTAAGGGACGATTGCTTTTGTCACTGTTGATGGACACAGCTGTAGGTGGGGGACGGTTGCTTGTGTCACTGTTAATGGTCATAACTGTAGGTGAGTGACGATGGTGTGTCACTGTTGATGGACACAACTGTAGTCGGTGACGATTGCTTGTGTCACTGTTGATGGACACAACTGTATGTGGGGGACGATTGTTTGTATCACTGTTGATGGTCATAACTGTAGGTGGGGACGATTGCTTGTGTCACTGTTGATGGTCACAACTGTAGGTGGGGACGATTGTTTGTGTCACTGTTGATGGTCACAACTGTAGGTGAGGGACGATTGTTTGTAGTCACTGTTGATGGTCACAACTGTAGGTGGGGACGATTGTTTGTGTCACTGTTGATGGTCACAAACTGTAGGTGTGGGACGGGTCACTGTTGATGGTCACAACTGTAGGTGTTGTTTGTGTCACTGTTGATGGTCACAACTGTAGGTGGGGACGATTGTTTGTGTCACTGTTGATGGTCATAACTGTAGGTGGGGACGATTGTTTGTGTCACTGTTGATGGTCACAACTGTAGGTAAGGGGGACGATTGCTTGTGTCACTGTTGACGGACATAACTGTAGGTGGGGGACGATTGTTTGTGTGACTGTTGATGGTCACAACATTAGGTGGGGACGATTGCTTGTGTCACTGTTGATGGTCATAACTGTAGGTTTTGACGATTTTTTGCTTTACTGTTGATGGTCACAACGGTAGGTGAGGGACGATTGCTTGTGTCACTGTTGATGGTCATAACTGTAGGTGGGGACGATTGTTTGTATTACTGTTGATGGTCACAACTGTAGGTGGGGACGATTGTTTGTGTCACTGTTGATGGACACAACTGTAGGTCGGGGACGATTGTTTGTCTTACTGTTGATGGTCACAACGGTAGGTAAGGGACGATTGCTTGTGTCACTGTTGATGGTCATAACTGTAGGTGAGGGACGATTGCTTTTGTCACTGTTGATGGACACAGCTGTAGGTGGGGGACGGTTGCTTGTGTCACTGTTAATGGTCATAACTGTAGGTGAGGGACAATGGTGTGTCACTGTTGATGGTCACAACTGTAGGTGGGGGACGATTGTTTGTGTTACTGTTGATGGTCTCAACTGTAGGTGGGGGACGATTGTTTGTGTCACTGTTGATGGTCACAACTGTAGGTGGGGGACGATTGTTTGTGTCACTGTTGATGGTCACAACTGTAGGTGGGGGACGATTGTTTGTGTCACTGTTGATGGTCACAACTGTAGGTGAGGAACAATAGTTTGTGTCACTGTTGATGGTCATAAGTGTAGGTGGGGGACGATTGCTTGTGTCACTGTTGATGGACACAACTGTTGGTGGGTGACAATTGTTTTTGTCACTGTTGATGGACACAACTGTAGGTGAGGGACGATTGCTTTTGTCACTGTCCATGGTCACAACTGTAGGTGAGGGACGATTGTTAGTGTCACTGTTGATGGTCACAACTGTAGGTGAGGACGATTGCTTGTGTCACTGTTGATGGAAAGAACTGTAGGTGGGGACGATTGCTTGTGTCACTGTTGATGGAAACAACTGTAGGTGGGGACGATTGTTAGTGTCACTGTTGATGGACACAACTGTAGGTGAGGACGATTGCTTGTGTCACTGTTGATGGTCACAACTGTAGGTGGGGACGATTGTTGGTGTCACTGTTGATGGACACAACTGTAGGTGGGGACGATTGTTTGTGTTACTGTTGATGGTCACAACGGTA